GTGGGGTATGAGGTGCTTGGGGGGAGGAGGGAGGGCGCCCATGCTGTGAGGTTCGCACTGCCAATGTCCGGGCGTACGCCGAAAGCTCGGCTTACCTGCATGTGCGTAAGCTCCTAAGCTCCTAAGCTCCTAAGCCCTAAGCCCTAAGCCCTAAGCCCTAAGCCCTGAGCCCAGAGCCCTAAGCCAATAGCCCTAAACCCTAAACCCTAAACCCTAAACCCTAAATCCTAAACCCTAGACCCTAAACCCTAAACCCTAAACCCTAAACCCTAAACCCTAAACCCTAAACCCTAAACCCTAAACCCTAAACCCTAAACCCTAAACCCCGCCAAGCCGGAACCATATTTCTTGAGCTCTATAGGGGGCGGGCCCCTGGATTCCCTAAAGTTTTCTAGAATACCTTCCGTAGAGACCCCCCCCCCTAAAGGACCAACTCATCCCTAAACCCTAAACCCCGAACCCTGAACCCTGAACCCTAGACCCTAAACCCTGAACCCTGAATGACCCCTGAACCCTCAACCCTAAACCCTAAATCCTTCATTCAGAACAGGACCTTGAGTCTCTTCTTTGCCTTAATTCATTTCTGTTTTCGTTGCGTCATGAAGCTTGCCCGCAGCGCTAGACGCTTCTACAGTAGCCGAACAACAAACCCTAAACCCTAGACCGACCCTAGACCCTAGACCCTAGACCCTAGACCCTAAACCCTAAACCCTAAACCCTAAACCCCAAACCCTAAACCCCAAACCCTAAACCCTAAACCCTGTACCCGAAACGGCCTTGAGGTCGACAGCTCCTGCTTGAACCCAGGCTCAAAATTGGGTTTGGGATTTGGGGTTACTGGTTTAGGATATAGGGTTTAGGGCTGGGGTTTAGGGCTAGGGTTTAGGGTTTGGGTTTACGGTATAGGCTTTAGGGCTAGGGTTCAGGTCTGGGGTTTAGGGCTCAGGGCTGAAAGGGTGCAGGCTTTCGGGCATCAGTCTTGGGAGAAGTGCTTAAAATTTGGGAGAAGTGCTTAAAGTTTAGGATTTTGGGGCCTAAGCCCCAAACCCCAAACCCCAAACCCTAAACCCTAAACCCCAAACCCAAAACCCCAAACCCTAAACCCTAAATCCTAAACCAGGGTTGGAGAGGACCAGGATTCGGTTTCAGCGTCGACTTCGGTCTTTCATCAACTTCCCGGGTAGGGCAGTTTCATACTAGGCCTTAGCAAGGGACTAAAGGAGGGACCCTTTTCGGGGACGTTAGATGCTGTTTGGGGGTATTTAGGGGCTACTTAGGTACATAGGGGACTATATGAGGTGTATATATATATATATGTATATATAGGGTATATACCGGAGAGTATGATTAACCCCCCTTAGCCTGTTTCGAAGGCTTAGGTCACGGGGTGTCGGAGCGCACGCAAGCAAGATGGGAGAATTTACACGATCCGGAGCTCTTGGGTTCGCTTTCTTCCTGATTTCGAGTCTTCCGTGCTTAGGAATGGTCCAACTGCCGAGGTAGAATTTCTCCCTCCCTAGTGACTTCAATGTCATATATGCTCAACATGCTATAGGCGTTTCCGTGGTTACGACTCGAACAGAATGTGCTATGATATGCTAGAATGGCAAGATGTAAGTTCCTTGGGGGGTTGGGGTGGGTAGCAGAGAATCTTCATACACTGTATCCAAAGCCCGAACTCCAAACCCCTAAGCCAAACGGCTCCGAAACCCTGAGCCCGAAAAACCCAAAAGCCCCTCTAAAGCCCAAGCCCTAAACCCCAAACCCAAGCCCTAACCCTATAAAATCCAAGCCCCAGCCTTAAACCCGAAGCCCTGAGCCAAAGCTCTGCTGGGAGTGAGTAGGCATGACGCCGGATGAGCTGCGGTATGGCAAGCAGCCGGATCCCTTGTCGGGTTTAGGGTTGCAGGCCCACTCTACGACCGCACAAGCCGTGAAGAGCCCCGAACCGACCCCAATACCTTAAATTAAGCAACCCCCAGACCTTAAAAGCCTAAAACCCTAAACCCCGAATGCTAAGCCTAAACACCTTAAACCCCTCAACCCTAAGCCCCAAACTCCCCCCCCCCCCCCCCCCACAGCTTCAACCCCAAGGCCCTAAAACCCTGACTAAGCTGTCACACGGTGCGTCTTCCAGGTTAGCGGGAAAACCGACCAGAAAAGTTACTTTTCGAGAAAAATGGCTTTTCGAGAAAAGTGGCTTTTCGAGAAAAGTGGCTTTTCGCGGACACCGTGCGCTCCAACGCCGCGAGAAAAGTCACTTTTCGCAAAAAGCGGCTTTTCGAGAAAAGTGGCTTTTCGAGAAAAGTGGCTTTTCGCGGACACCGTGCGCTCCAACGCCGCGAGAAAAGTCACTTTTCGCAAAAAGCGGCTTTTCGAGAAAAGTGGCTTTTCGAGAAAAGTGGCTTTTCGCGGACACCGTGCGCTCCAACGCCGCGAGAAAAGTCACTTTTCGCAAAAAGCGGCTTTTCGAGAAAAGTGGCTTTTCGAGAAAAGTGGCTTTTCGAGAAAAGTGGCTTTTCGGGAGCATTTTCCCCGTAACGTCAAAGACACCCCACACGCCAGCACAGAACCCTGAACCTTCAAACCGGAAAGAACTAACACCCTAAAGCTGAACGAAAACCAAAACCCTTAGCCCTAAACCCTAAACCCTAAACCCTAAACCCTAAACCCTAAACCCTAAACCCTAAACCCTAAACCCTAAACCCTAAACCCTAAACCCTAAACCTCGAACCCTCGGCCCGTAGCCCTGCTCGGGCTGAGGCAACTTACGGAAGCTCGCCGCAAGCGCTGCACGCCACGCTCTGAGAGTTAGGGTTTAGGGTTTAGGGCAGTTTAGGGTTTAGGGTTTAGGGTTCAAGGTTCAAGGGGTTGAGGCTCCCACCCCTGTACCCCTGAAGGTTCCCCAACCATATGCTGCTCATATGGCCCCTATACTATCTAAAGGACTCTTACCCTAGAACCCTAAACCTTGAACCCTAAAATGGTCCCCAAACCTAAGGGGTCCAAGATAGAGTCCCTGGACTTGTGATGTTTCGGGTCTTGCTCTGTTTTGCTTCAGGGGCTTAGGTCTCTAGATGTGAGTTAGGGACTAGGGTTTAGGGTTTAGGGTTTAGGGTTAGGGTTGACGGAAGAGAAAGATTGATATCGGGATTCGCCCTAAACTCTAAGCCCTAAACCCTAAACCCTAAACCCTAAACTCAAGCCCCCGGCTCAAGTGAAATTTTTTATTTTCTGATTTGTGTTGCGTGGGGGGCCACACTGTCTCCGTAGCCCGGTAGCTTTGGTGCCATGGTTGCATGTCTTCACAAGCCATTTCCAGAGAGTATGCATGGGGAGTGATTGTGAGACTGATGATACTCGTTGCCGTGGTTTATGCGGGCACGGGAGACGACACAGAGACAGCCCACACTGGTATGCGGACACCGCACCAGGGGGGGCGACAAAACAACAATGAGACGAATTTTCAGTGTACCCAAGACATTAATCAGCTTGCGGCACCCATCCCGCTGACCTGTCAAGGGTATGCTGCTACGACACTGTCACCGCAAGGTCGTCTTGGTAGCCATGATCAGGTGCATGACCAACCTACCGATGCTGCGGAGCCAGACACACAGACGTCCCCAGATCATGCTCTACATGCGTCCACTGCACCTATAGCTACATTTCACGTACAGGGAGCGCTGCATGCCTTGACTGTGATATGTTGGATTCACTTCTCCGGCGAAGGCCAGGCGTTATCTGAGCAGGATTTTGATTCAGCTCTCAGAAACACTGCGCTACAAATACCAGTGGACACAATCTTTTCAACGATACAAGCCACGTTGATGCAATGGGGCGGAGCTGAAAGGGCGGAGGAGATCACCCAATTTATGGCCCACATCGCCAACGTTTTGCGGCCTCATCCAGAGCCAGCACATATGGACAGGCAGAGCCAGCTCTCGGGTCCTAACGCACGTCGAGCTATCATGAGATTGCTTAAACAGCCACAGCGTCTGCAGGCTCACGCCGAACACTTGAGCTCAACGACAGGTGATTCCGGCCACTTACTTGATCGGCTGATTGAGTCGTATGCTTTTTCTGCATGTGCAAATTCTGATCCTAACACCACTGTGCGCTTGAGCGAACCAAGGCTTATGAGAGACTATGGTGACCGCACACAGATCTCATGCTTTTTCAGACCGAGCAAAACCAACATGCTGAGTGCGTGCATAACAGCCTTCTTCTTGTGGCATCCAGCTTTGTCTTTGTCCCATGCATTTCCGTCAGCCTTTTGCAATGTACACGTTGTTTCCGAACCGTATATGGGAGCGGGTGGATACCCACCATGGGACAGGCCGGGGTCAGCGGACACCGCTACTCTGCAGACAATGTGTTGCTGGCATAGGGCAGAACGTTTTCAATGCCATGTGCGTTTGCAGTATCGCAGGCTACTGCAGCATGGAGATGACACCGCGAGCCGAGGGGGTCTGACGACATGTTTTCTTTGGCACTCCCAGTGGCCATATCTGAAATCCATTGCTGCAGGTACGGAGGAGACAGAGCTCGCACCTACGACGAACACCACAGGACTACAACGTGCTGCCATGCCATACCGCAGTGCATTGCAACAGCCTTGCCACATGATTATAGGGTCAGTGCCCCAGGCAACAGCTACTAACATCACTTTGCTGCGAGATTCGGGTTCAAAGGAGCGTATCTGTTGTGAGCTGTGTGGCCTCTGTCACTCTTGGGCCCCTGCCGAGTCACAGACATGGCGGAAGAAGATGAGAACAGCCCGGAAATGCCCCTCGAAGACGACGACGATGCTTCTGGTACAATACGGGAGATCATGGAGACCCCTACACCGAGACGGTCTCGTACCAGAACCAGATCACCTGTGGCTGAGAGGTCCTCATCTGCGAAGGCAAGCGGTAGTGCTGCCACGGCCAAAGGAGCGGGGGGTGCCGGCGATTCAAGTACGGTGGCGAAGGCCAAGACAGGAATGGAGGAGGCAACACATGGGACAGCGGTGCTGCCAAAGACGGGTGGGGTGCCACCGAAAGGGCCAGCTGGCCCGCCGCCACCGACCTCAACGACTCCACCGCTGCACCCTGCCAAGACCTCCGGCATGGGAGGAGACTTCAGGCCGACTCCGGCAGTGGGAGGACCGCCGCCACCCACCCCTGCAAAGCACGCCAGCACGGTACTGCAGCAAGGTGTTTACACTGTGGTTTGGGATCCCCACAACAATGTCACGTGGATGTCCCTCGACGCTTACCCACAGGGCAGCGTGCCACACCAGGTTATGGTGCCGCCGTCTCCACCAGCCAAAGGAGGACCCAGTAGGCCAGGCGATGCCAGCACTCCAGCTGCATGGGACTGAACGGCAAGGGTCGAAGGGCATGGCTCCAATCTTCCTTGTACAATGCCTCTCGGAGCCCAGAGAATGGCATTGGAATGCCTCTAAGCGATCATGCGAATGTGTGAAAAAACAAACCAGCCGATCGCAGACCGTCCCTGAAACACAACATTACCAAGCTGTGAAGAAATTATGTGCCCAGCAATGTGATTGCAGGAGGATGCTCAGCCATGAGTCCCAACCTTGGTGCCCTTATCCCAATGGAACCGTCTTTGCTGCGACTCTGTGCCAGTATCAAACCCCTGAAGCTCAGGTTGGGGAATTGCGGCCCACCGCGCCCCGACACTGGCCACCACGACAATTGGGAGCAGGCGCTCTCGGCCTGCTTGTATGCTTTTCCCACTGCCCGTCAGAGCTTGATAGTGCACATGATACGCGCGTGACCCGTCTGCCCTATTGCAGCTTTTACTCGAACAGCTCTGCCCCTGCTGTGTTTATTTCAAGCACGCCAATGGGGAAGTCGCCTGCGGCAAAGGCACGCTCGGCTATGCGACCGCCTACGAGGTTCCGAAGCCCAGCACGCACACCGGCGTGGGAGTTTCCTGAACCGATCGAGGAATGGCAACCATTGCCATATGAGGAGCTCAGGCGATGGTATCAGAACCACTGGGATCGGCGACAGTCCCGCTCATCTACGTCCTGGATGCCACGAACACAGGCCTCCACTGGCAAAAGCTCTAGCAGCACATGGAGGCGTGCGCCCCCTCAGCCACCGATGTCGAGGCGACAAAGAGAGAGTCAAGGCCAGAAGGACCCGGAGGAGAAAGTGGGACAGCCTGATGTCGACCCTACCTCAGAGCGAGCAGTGGAGGCCGTTCACCCGACTGTGAAGGTAGAGCCGTCAGAGCCGTCTGCCCCGAACGCTGGAACCAAGACGAAGCCCGAGCTGAATGAGGAGCACACGATCAAAGCGGAGCTGGAGATGGGCGAAATGGAGCGTGACATCATCGTGGACAAGATGATTCAGTGTGCGAAGACCACAGCAGCAAGATTTGGAGTCACGAGTGAACAGCTCCTGGACGCCGTGCAGTTAACATGGCTGCCGGTACTGGAGCAACGCCAGTGGAGGACAACGGTGACATGTCTCTTATGCTCGCACAGCCCTGGCTCCCTCAGGGACTGGCAGCGGCACTTGCTCACCAAGTCCCACTCCAGGATCGCCAACGAGTCAACGAGGCAAAGATGACGTGGTACCACCTCTACTTGGTCATGAGCCTGCATGATGACAGAATGTGCCCCGGCATATCTTTCACTTTTGAGGTAAGTGCATCCTTTGAGACACATAGTGTGTGCCGCGCACCCTCGCCCATACAAACATCAGGCGCCGCCAAACGGGGAACTCAGCACCACAGACAAGTTCGAATGAGCCCAGCCTTGTATCGCAGAATGCAGCTCTGCTTTTCAAACAGCTGGTTGACGCGCTTCATGGAGTGCAATGACGCTCAAATTCGTGATCCCTTCGGGAGGTATACCCGGACGCGGACGGAGGTACTTGGAACACCAGACCTCCCGATCGAATATCAGCTGTGGATGCCGATCCCTGCGAGCTCGGACAAACAAAGTTGCAGCAACCAAGGGGAGCCTAGAATGCATAATCGTCACCAGGACTCCCAGCCACGAATCACTTTAAGTCCTGACAGGTCGAGATGGAGAACGCACCGATGGAAAATACGAAGGTGGCATCGCAGGCCACGGGCAAACCGCCCCATATTTCCATTGCTTCAGTACTTGTGGTCCTACACATGTCGATGGACGCATCTCCAGGGCCCACGAGGAAGGACGTCGTGCTCAGCCGCTTTCGAGGCCAAACCCCAACCTGTCTGGTGCAACACCGCAGTGAACGACCCACCGGAGTATGATCCCCCCTTGCATAAGGCAACACAATCTTTCGAATTAAGCGATTTTCTTTCCTTGAGCTTGTCCGGTCCCAAGTCCGGACGACGTGTCGAGCGTGACACGTCGGGGGCGAGGGTTGCGACAGCTGCCCCACTGTCGCGGGAGCCTGTTCCCAGACTCCTTCACAAAGGCTTCAGGGCGAAGCAAGGGGCCAGACACCGGCGACAAGCGAGCGACTCAGATTTTTCCTCATTGATTTCGAGAGCAATGTTGAGGAGAGCTGCACACACAGTACCTATCATGAGCATTGTGTACAGGTGTAAACAAACGGGAGTAGCGGCCACCGCTGTCCCCCATCACGGAGATGGCTCGTCCCATGGATGGACCGCCAAGAGGGCTTACCGAAGAGCCAGACAGAGAGCCAGTGCTGCCGGCGGTACTTGGTATAAGGGTCGGCAAATGCATCGCAAAGGCGCTGCAAATCCGCGCTGCACCATGGGTACAATCTGCCATACAATACCAACCCCAATATGCTTATTCCCCAGGGCGACTCTTGGAAGCTGCCATCCTACGGGCCATTCACCACTGCCGAGACATCAAGCAATTACTGCTGGACAATGATGGCGGACTACGAGCCAGGCGCCAGGGCAAAAAGAAAGGGGATTGTGTTGGAGGCGCCACGCTTGCTCTGGATATGAGCCAGGCTTTCGATCGTGTGGATAGAACCAAACTCTGCGAAGCACTCTGCCGCACAGGCATGCCAGCTGAGCTGATCAACACGATAGTTCATTGGCGCAACACCATCCAGTATCATTTACAGGTGGCCGACCTCAAGGAGACCATACATTGTGGCAGAGGCCTGAGGCAGGGTTGTACCCTGTCTCCCACCTTATGGGTGGCAATCACAAGCCACGTCCTGCACATGCTTGGGCAAACTGTGACGGAGGAATGGATTCGAGATCAATTGACTCTATTCGCGGATGATGTTTTGGGGCAGTGGTCGTTCAACTCGGAACAGGACTTAACGTTTATGCTGCAATGTATGGATGCCATTTTCAGTGTATTGGAAGCGTTTGGCATGAAGGTCAATGACCAGAAATCCTCACTCATCATCCAAGTCAAGGGTCGAGTGGCGACGGACTGGTTGAAAGCGCGGACACGGACTGTTAAGGGAGTCAAAACTTTTGTCACAGCGACACCCCAAGGCAGAATTCTGTATATTCCAATTGTGCAACAGATCAAGTACCTCGGAATCATGCTGAGCTACCATAACCCTGCGAAACACACAGTGGCCTATCGATTGAGACAAGCGGAAGCGCAACGTCGGAGGCTACAGAAGGTCCTACAGGGGAAACACATTCTGTCGATCAAACAACGAGTCCAGCTATGGAAGGCGTGTGTTTGGACTTCTTTACAGCATGGTCTGAATGCAGTGGGAGTTGGCTGTGCAAGACAACTACGAGCACTTTCATCTAGCCCAGTCCATATAGCGCATGAAAGTACGGAGGCCCTCTTTCGACGCCTTGGTTTTGAGGAACCACATTTATTGTTGGGCAAACGGATGAACACCCTTTCCACCACTTTGGCGAACAGCAGGGACCCAATGATGCATACGACGAAGCTTATCAACACAGTTCAACAGAATCAATGGCAGCTCGAAAAGGCCGTTAGACACTGGCAGAACATCAAAGCTCGACAAAAATTCGAAGACTCACCAGACAATGGCTCCCTTCTACTCCCCAGGGAGGGCGGGATGTGGCTGCAACCTGTAGTTACATCCAAAGGTGTTTTGCCCGCTCAGTTCATGTGTCCCCAATGCCTCCTTTTCTTCGTGGATATGCGGATGCTGAAGAAGCACCATGTTGATTCACACGGCACTCCCCTCGAACCCCTACTTCGCAATTTCGATCGTTTCCTGCATAGCCAAGATGATATGCCCACTTGTCGACGTTGCGAACATGAGTTCCAAACATGGCAGGCGCTACAAGGTCATATCTTGGGTAATCATTGTTCCGCTTTTTGGCTGAAATGCCAAGATCCACAACAGGAGACTGAGGACACCTCGTCTCCAGGCCAACCAACTCTTGAACAGGGAAAGATGAATGAGCGGATTTTTTCCACCAGCACTGGCCCTGTAATGTGCCATGATGATTTACGCAGTTTCCTGGGCACACATGGGTGGCCTGCAATTGTGCAACTCCGATCCATATGTATGCATTTGCGGTCTCACTGTGCGATTTGTGATCAATGGACACACCCATGGAAGTTGAAGTTGCATTACCGGGGAAGTCACTCTACGATTTGGCAGGATTACGGTATTATGGTGGACTCGGACTGCTCACTGATTCGGAGGCAAGCAGTTACACCCTGTCGCTTCTGTGGGGCGCAAGTACGTCATGCGGTCGCACACACATCTAAATGTCCTACCGTTTGGCAGGTATGTCTTCTGACGCGGATGTGGAATGATGATCGTGCTATGAGGCCCCTTGATCTACAACGAAACCGAAGCAATGTGCTACGACTCGCCAGAGAGCGCCAATCCCGACACTCTAAGGCCCACAAACAAAAACGATTGGCAGCAAACGAGCCTCTGCTTAGTCAGACTGTGAGCACCGATTTCTTTCCACCAACGTCAGAGGTTGAGCAAGCACGAACCCCAAGCCACGACTGGATGCAGCCGCTCGAGCACATCTCGTGGTGTGAACGTGCTCGACATCAATGCATCCAGTGCAAAGTGCCCACTGCGGATGTGCGTGATTTCATGCAACATTGTACTTCTGCACATGAGGGATTTTGGCAACACAGAACAGACTATGTTCAAGACAGCATTTTGCTCAATCAAGCTACGACACTGTGCTGTTGGTGCAGAGCTACGACACACAGGCCGACGTTGCATGCACAATACTGTATTCCAGTGATGAATGCAGCACTGTTACGTTACGAGACTGTCAGTCGGTTTTCGAGGATGGACACCACGCCGATGGACGAGCTCAAAAGCATGTACGGCGAAATGTTGCCGTCCTTGAGCAGCACCACTTGTACCCCGGAGACCACACCAACAAGATCAACCGGGAAGAGATCGGCCTCCCCCGACGCACCAGAACGGTCACAAAACGCAGGACCGGAAAAGCACAAAGGGCAGAGGCAGGGGACGCGGAGCACCGCGCCCGAAGACGTCTCTAATCCAAGAGAGCTCCAGCCTCATGGACGACACGTACCACCTGGAAAAGGACATGGTCAAGGAGTTGGTCCGCCTGTCGCTGAGGCACGAGCAGCAATTGATGCGATTGGGCCAGGACACTGTCTTGCTGTTCACGTTCCAGAACAGGCCAGGCGAGAAGGAGAACATCCTGCCGGCATTGTTCAAGATAAGCCAGGCCTGGAAGCAAAAAATGGAGAGCGAAACCAAGCCGACAATGTCCTTGAGGGTTACGGTGATGCAGTGCATTTGTGCGGAGCTCCTCGACCGGGTCAAGAAGGTGACTACCACGGAGGCGTTCAAAGCAGTGGTGATCCGACAGCAGTGGATGACACAGGAGGGACGCTGGAATTTTCTGCGCTGGAATGCCGAGACGGAGCAGCTGGACAAGATCGAGGGCCAGGGCATCACGCAGGAGGAGTTGGAACAGTTGATCGAGACCATCCAACAGAGTTGCGTGCTGACAGGTGCCCTATACAGGTTTCAGGCGACCCGAAGGCTGGCTGCAGAACTTGCGGGCCACCAACTGACCTTTGTCGCGGAGGTGGGACTGAGGCAGCCAGGAGCGCAGACTTTATACCAATCCCTCGCCAGGATCCAGGGGGTGGCGGCGTTGCAGCTAGTGGGTCTACGAGTTCATCACCCTCGACTCCAGATGTCGCCACTGGCAGACACGCTCAGCCGCTATCTCAAATGGTCACTGCCTTGGCATTGCGTAATCCTACCAACCTCTGCTACTTGAATTCCGTTGTCAGTGTCTGGTTATGGCTTGCAGCAAAAACCACAGGTGAATCAAACAAACTTTTTGGACGAGCTTCAGAAGCTTTTCAACGCATCTTGGCGTCAAGTAGTGCATCACCATATATTGCTGGCATGCTTGCATGGCGTCAGATACTTCTGACATGGCCACAACTACATCAACAAAATGATGCTCATGAATTCTGGATATATCTTCAGGATTTTGCCAAAGCGCCTGTCTTCGAAGGAGTTTGGGAGGCAAGGACTGCAGTTGAGGGCCCCAGACGATATATCCGTGAACTTCAGGGTACACTTTCAACAGGAGTGACTGTTCCATTGCCACAACGAACCACGGACTTGGACTCCTGCATAGCTGCTTGGTGTAGACAGCCTTTTACACATGCTCTGGTGCA